GATCGATTTATCGCGTCTCATCTGGACGCGATAGATCGATCCCAGAAGCGCTCCCCCGTCGACTGCGGAACTCCTGCTCGCCGAGAGGAGGAAGCGCTGTCGATGGGGGAGCCTGCCTGCGCCGCGTGGACCCGAAGTAAGTAAATTTAGTTCGATATAGGAAACGTCGACTTCAGCTACACTATTCTCGTAGCTGAAGTTGCGTTTCCTATATCGATCCCCCGCCCCAGTGTGGACCAGCCCTCAGTTTCCCCATCTGTAAAACAAGGATGACAGTCCTGAGCTGCTTTGCAGAGGGGCTGTGTTCCCTAATAATGTCTGGAAAGCCAGCTGAGATCCAGGATGGAAGGCACCAGAGAAGGGCACTGTCTCAGTCCCATTAATACACACACACTGACTAAACATCCACTCACTCCCTGGCTGATAAACACCGATATACACTCACTCATTCACACTCACAGCTGAGAGATTCCTGTGACCCTTCAGGCAGCGAGCAACAATTCAACAGCAGGGCCATGGCAGCCCTTGTGAGCACACGAGCAAACACAATCAGTCTGTGTACTCTCTCTCTCTCACACACACACACACACACAGGCTTGTTACACACAGAGGAACTTTACCCACTAACACCCTACAAAAAGATTTAACAGGCCAACCCTCAGACAGCAGCCAAGCCGCCATCCACCCCCAGTCCTGCTTGTTCTTCCTTTTAAAGCCGCTCGGCACATCTTTCCCGATGCACATTCTTCAACTACCTCTTATCTCGTAAATTAGCCGAGAGAGAGAGAGGGATCCCGAATAGCTGAGCTCTGTCGTAACTGGTTCCCTCGTGTGAGTGTTAGGCAGAGAGGAAGGTAGGGTTTCTAGCAGGGTGCCAGCCAAGGGTCAGGCTTTTTATACTCCCCACCTTCCCTTTGATATAAAATACAAACGCTCTAGGTAAACACTGAACACTGCAGAGACCAAACTTAACTCCTTTACCTTCCCTGCCAGAGCCTCCGCCATCCCACTCTCTGGCACAAGGCTTTCCATTTCCCCTGCTGCAGGCAGCTCTGCTGGGTGGTAAAGTGATGGGCTGTAGCAAAAACTAAGGCAGAGTCAGACCCAAAGAGCCAGGTTCTTTTGAACTAAGGATAGGGAAACATCCGTCCAGAGAACCCTCAGAGCCTACACTACCAAACCCAACCTTCCCCCACAGCATCTTCCTCCCATCAGCAAAGCCTGCACCCAAACCTCCTCTAGATGCCTTAAAAGCCTCATTTAATCCAAAATCGCCTCATCCCTCACAAATCTCAGAGCAAAGCCCCAAACATTTCCATTCTCTCTTTATCTCCTTTGTTTCCCCGTATCTCCAAGCTCTGTGCCAAAGCAGCAAACTCCTATGGGAGAGAGATGGGTAACTCCAGTCTGACTGAAACCAGGAAACGTCTTCCTGAAATAAAGTCCCATCTCCTGAGATTTTCAGACCCAAGGGGAACCAGAATCAAGCTCACTCCTCACCAGCCGGGCCCAAGGCTGGGGACCTGGGATCTAAGGGATGTTGAATCACAAGGAAATGGCTGCTTAGGCAAAGTGCAAACTTAAGGATGATGCTGTGATCCGAGGAAAAGCTTCTACCCCGAGCGCCATATTGACACCAGTTTAAACATGGAAAAATAACCCTTTCCGCATAGAGGCTTTCAACAGTCCTCTACAGAAGGATTTTGCTATGAATAGACGTGTAAATACCAGAGACAGCAACATGCAGGGGACTGGACTAGATGACCTCTCGAGGTCCCTTCCAGTTCTATGATTCTATGTCTAGCAGACTGAATATGAGGCGAGGGGTTAGGATCTCGTGGGTTTTAATCCTACCTGCTTTCCAAAGGGTTGCAAGGATGAATGAGTTAACCCTTGTACAGCACTTCGAAAATATCAAGTGCTAAAGGATTATTCATAAATATGGTGGAAGTGCTAACAGCAGACTCTGATCTGGTGAGACTCAGTTTATAATGAAGTAGAATAGACTCCCCGAATTATTTCGGCATGTTGCAATGTGCAGAAAAATGAATTCACTCTATGAGGGGAAGGCTTGATTCAAACGTGCAGCTTTCCATGGGAAGCAACTGGGATACTCAGTTTAAAGAATTTATTTGTGTGGATATGAATCGGTCCTACTAATGGAGTTTATCCTTGTAAATGAATACACGTCTAGCATACCGAGAAGAAGCAAGGTATGTTTGTTCACCTGTATACTACCCGTCCTGAGTTCACTGATCTCTCAGGACAGTGAGATCCCAGGTTAAATCAGACTCCTTGCTGGAAATCTAGAAAGATAGGCACCAACCTTCAACTCCTAATACCTGATGATCAGTTTCACTCCTTCAAAACACCCTGGATAGCTGGCATGTATGAGAGACAGAAAAGAATCATCTCATCACCCCTTTCCACGGGCAGTGATCCTTTGTGCTAAAGCTTACGCCTCCATTCCCCTCTCATCCTCACCTACCACAGTGTAACAGACACTGATTAACACAACAGAACGGATGAGCTGCCCATGGGAAACAAACTGCCATGCTGCAGGCTGCAGTGCGAACTAAGAGCGAACATAAAAAAGTTACACAGTTGAGCAACATGCAGACATGAAAGAAGTGTCCTGCAGCCCCAGTTTTCTTCACTTTCCATTTTCACAGGAGAAGGCATGGGCAAGAGATTTTTAGGGTTCACCAAAAATAAATCAAACAGATGGCTCTCGAAACCCTGTGAAATACAAAACACCCCCCTCAAAGTGACAACGAGAGAAAGGCAACCGAAGTTCACTGCTTCTAAATATCACACAGCACAGCACGAGTGGGGGAGCCAAGGGTGTGGGGGGGGGGGGGGGGGGGGGGGGCGGGGGGGGGGGGGGGGGGAGGTGGAGCTTAGAAGCTAGGAGAGTGGGGTTCAGTGGGTTGAGGATGCAGCTGGATTGGGAGTGGGGCCACCAGGAACTATGTCCAACTGAAACCCAACTGAAAACAAAGGCTGACTAGGAAGCAATTTGGTGCATGTAAGAGCCTCTGGAGCAAGGCTTCCGGCCTGGTTAATCCTGTTCCACATGGGACTCAGGATCATGACTAGAAAAACAAGAGAATATTTTCCTTTTGAGGAAAAGAGAGAGAGGAGCTAGAGAGACATCAAAGGGAAAGATTTCACAGAAACCAGAACAGGAGAAGAAACAGAAAGAGAAGCAGCCATAGTCCAAATCATTAGATAAAGCACCTTCCATTGACCATGCATTCATTTCCCTATGATCTGGGCAGCTTCCATGGTAAACAAGCTCACCATCATTTCCGCATACGATCCCCATCCCCCTGTCCTCCTGTTAATACAGTATCAGCAAGCTGCACTCCCCAAACACAGAGCGAGTGAATCTCAACTAAAAGACCAGCAGGAGGGGGGCCCAACTCTGGGTTTGATCAATGTATTAATCCAGCCCTCAAGACAATTGGAGATTATACTGTCACCAGCAACAAAAGCTCCCAGGACCTGCTATAAAAAGAGAAACTGGCTAGGATGTTCCTCCATATCTTCCCTGTGCCACAGGCTCTTTGTGCAATGAGCTGGATGCAAAGGGCAGATATTCTGCACATGCACACCTGAAACATTAGTCAGTTTCCCACTGCTGCCGCCTTTCCCCTTGGAAAGCAGGTTAGCAGAGACCACAGGAAGAGGGATCTCGGGGAGACTGGGGACGCATAACGAAGGGAAAGAGACAATATTAAGAAGAGGGAAAGAGGAGAGAGAAAAAGAACTGACAAAAAAAGAAATGCAGAGAGACAGAGCAAAGGGAGGTGCACAAAGACGAGGCAGTGAGGAGAAACAGTGAGAGGAAAGAGGAATTAAAACAATGGTCAGAAATGGCAGCAGGGCCCCAATTTGCTCCATAACCTTCATTCAACTGAGTGATTCTTAATGCAACAGTTTAACTTTACTAACTATTCAGTTATTACTAAATGGTCACGTTCTACCCTTGATCTTTGTCCAGAACCCAGCAAAAGGGGCCTGATTCTCCTCTTGTACCAACATTACACTCCATAACTCCTCTGGCCTCAACGGCGTCACTCCTGATTCACGTTGGTGTTAAGAGGAGAATACAAGCCGAGGTCTTCTGGGGATTGAGGGGAATCTGTGTCTCTGATTGTGCAGCGCCAGCCTACGGAAGCTAATTAAAAAGGTGATTAGCCCCCAGCACAGAATGTTATTGTAGGTATGATCAATCGGTGGGGCATTTGGAGCAGAGGACTAAGCATTCTGTAAGGAGTCCCTTTCCAATGGGACAGAGGGAACAGGGGAGGGAATCTGTGCTGATGTCCTTGGTCTGGGAGCAGGGGGATCTATACTGCAAGCCATGGGGTGATGGAGACGTACTGAAGTCCTCGGTCAAGGAGCCTGACATCCATGGTGCATGGCTCAGGGGACTGGTCTGGAGGCCTTTGGTCTGGGGGTGACTGTAGAGGCTGGCCTGGTGCTGGGCTCTGTGCTACAGTGAAGACTATGATGGTGGCATGTGTCTGCTGGGAGCCTGTGTCCCTGAGCTGGTAGTGTTGGGATTAGCATGCCCCTGTTCTGCGGTAAGGAGGCGGCAGGCTGATGGCCTTGTCACGGGGAGACGGACAGAGCCCATACCTAAACCCCAGTCTGAGGGGGGCTTGTGTTCAACTTCCGCCATCTGCGGTGAGGGCAGGTGCCCAGTCACAAGGGCAGCCACCGGGGCTCAGCTCCCCGCTGGGGATGCGAGAGCTGGGGATGAGTGCCAGTCTCTCGGAGCGATTTCTGTGCCCAGGTCCCTGCTGGGGGGTACGGGGGAGGGGATGGTGGCCTGCACCCAGGTCCCTGCTCAGGGTGGGTCGTGTTCTCAGGTGCCTGGGCAGATGTGTGGGATCAGTGGGGATGCGGGGGGATGCGGCCAGGCGCTGGCTGCGGGGTGTCTGCGCCCCGCTCTGGCCGGGGGTCCCGGGCTGCCCACCGCGGTCTCTCACCTTCGAAGAAGCGCTGCAGAGCCTCCGTCTCATCCACCACCTCCATAGCTGGGCCATGCACCGGGCCGCCGGGCTAGTGGCCGAGCCCGCAGGGGGGCATCCCCCCGGACACGCAGAGGGGACGCCCAGGGGTTCGGGCCGCGCAGCGCCGGCGGGGACTGGCCCCTGAGCGCTCGGGGTGCCCCGCTCCGCTCTCCCGCCCGTCCGCCGGCTCCCCGCGCCCCGGCTCCGGCGCCGCCGAGCGCGCCCCTCTGCGGAGCTCTCAGCAGCCGCCGCGGCTCCCCGCGGGGGGTGTCGGCCCCGTCCGGCCCCGGCAGCTGTCCATCGGCCTCCGAGAAACAGCAGCAGCCCTGACACTCAACTTGGGCGGCTGGCTCCAGGGCGCCCTGCCCGCCGCGCGGCTCCTCCCTCCGGCTCCGCCTCCCGGCCCGGCCCCTCTGCTGGCCGCCGCGGGCAATGCAAGCACCCCGCCGGGGGGAGCCGCTCCCCTCCATCGCCCTGGGATAGTCCCGAAGCCTTCCCAGGGGCAGCCGGGCTCACCTTCCTCCCCTCACGCACCCACCCCAGCACACCTGGCCCCCAAGCCTGCACAGCGCCTGCCATTCCCACTCCCCCACGGGGGCTGGCACCCTCATTCCCCCCTTCCCCTCCAGCAAGCGTTGTTGTTATGTAGGATAGCTCTGGGAGGTCCGCACACCCCTATTGGGGGTGACTCTGCCCACCCCCCCCCCCCCCCCGTTTGTTATTGTAGGGTGGCTTGCATAAACTGGTTTGTTTTTTATAGGGTCAGTCAAGCACTGGTTTATTACTGGCCTTGCCTTTTGTCAGGCTGAGCTAAGCCCACTGCTTTGTTAAGGTCAGGGACAGTGGTAGGGGAGGGGTGCACACATTGATTTGTTAATGTAAGGTCGCTCACAAACACAAGCCTGCCTGCACTGGCTCCTTAATGTAGAGTTGTTTGGGGTGTGGGGGTTTGGACTGAACACACGGCTTTGTAGGGTCACTCACAAACACTAGCCTGCCCACACTGTAGGCTGTCCGGGGGAGTCTGGACTGCATTGATTTGTTAGTGTACGGTCGCTGACAGGAGCTAGACTGCCAGCACCGCTGAAAAATAACCCCAAAGCATGTGTTTTGAGAAGAGAACCTGAGCTAGTTTACAAAGAGATCTGAGAAAGCCCAGTCAGACCTCTGGCCTTATGGCCCAGTTTCACCTCCCTAGATGAGACAACACTAACCAATTTGTCACTTTCAGAAATGCCCTCCGCATGTTTCATACAAACTACTTACGCCTCCATCACCGCCAGTGTCATGAGAGAAAGAGTGAGTGTCCTGCCAGGGCCCCACTCCACTTAGGTTCTGAGCACTCAACTCCCACCCCTAGGAAGAAGACCCAGAAGGAAAGAAAGAAACAATCGTTCCTTGACACTCCCTTTACAGAAAAGATCCTCATTAACATTATCATTATTTTTGCCAATCACAACTTAAATTTAACAGCAAGAGGTGGAAAACAAACGGTTTGAGACCTCTGCACAAGCCCATGGGTCCGATCCTCATTCTTAAAACCTGTCATCATTCTTTCTTTCAACGGGGGGAGGGAACATTTGGGTTTTCTTCCCCAGATGTGTCCACAATCAATAATAATGCCTCAAAAAACGTAACAGTACAGTAGCTAAATGAAGTTACAGTTATCTGACCACAGTTAACCAAAGGCAGAACCCCTGCCAGCAGAAGACTGTGGGCCCATTATCTTCTGGGCAGATAAAGCACACAATGAGGTTTTGTCCGTCCCCACAAACCAATTCAGAAGGGCAGATTCTCTTATATATATAAATATATTTTTCTCTCTCACACAGCTGTGCAGTGACCAATTCTTCTCTGAGGAGTGGGGAGGGGGCTGAGGTTTGGGGATAGTAATAGGTCTATTCTTTCGGGGTTGGAAAGCAAGAGCTCAACAGCCTTTTTTTCCTCTCTCTCTCTTTCCATTAAGACAATTGTTATTCTCCATTACATCCCATCCCCCCCGCCCCCCCCCCCCACACACACACTCCCCCTGCCCACAGACACAAGCTGCATGTACCCAGGGAGGAAGCAAAACATTTCTCTGCGGAGGTTGATGACGTTAGCCACAAGACTTAAATCAAAACTCAGCTCCAAATGCTCCCCCAAAGCTGAATCTGGATGTAATGACGGGTTCCCCCCCACACACAGTGATGGACTTCGAAACAGAGCCTTGGAATTAGACACCCCTGAACCTCATGACACACAGAATCAGCTCTTGATTGGCCAGGATTAATTCTAATGAATTTATTTATTTCCCTCTGTTTCTGCTTGGAGATTTGAGCTGTTGTTTGGTAGTTGAAGGCCAGATCCAGTCACCCTTACTCACAAAGAATAGCTACCTATTTCTCATGTAGCACAGGTACGTGCAGACTAAGTTGCTACTCGATGTGAGTGCAGATGGCTGGATCCGGCCTTTCAGAAGCAAATGGCTCACATGCTCTTCTCTGCTATTTCAGTCACTCTTCACTCCCTTCTTCTTCTTTTCGTGGGTGGGTTGGCTGATTTGTTCTTGGTTTTTATACAGTTCCATGATCATGTTAAGCATTGGGACAATGTGTTATGGGGAAAAGGGGGCTGACGAGGACTTTACCCCCACCAGCTCCCTGTCCTGCCATTGGAACCCCGTTTCTGCCCTGCAGGCCTCTGTTCATTCAGATCCTGCACTTCATCACTCTACTATGGGGCTCCCGGATGAAAAGAGAACGGAGATGTTGAAAAGCAGTCATTCAATGGGGCAGGATTTGTGCTTTTGAAAATCTGCCTCTTGATGTCTGTACTGTGAATAGTTCTCTGAAAACATCTGCTCAGTGTGCAGTGGCAGTCAAAAAAGCGAACAGAAGGTTAGCAACCATTAGGAAAGGATTAGATAATAAGACAGAAAATATCATATTGCCTCTATATAAATCCATGGTATGCCCACATCTTGAATACTGCGCACAGATCTGGTCGCCCCATCTCAAAAAAGATATATTAGAATTGGGAAAGGTACAGAGAAGGGCAACAAAAATGATTAAGAGTTTGGAACAGCTTCCACATGAGGAGAGATTAAAAAGGCTGGGACTGTTCAGCTTGGAAAAGAGGAGACTAAGGGGGGATATGATAGAGGTCTATAAAATCACGACTGGTGTGGAGAAAGTGAAACATAACACAAGAACTAGGGGTCACCCAATGAAATTAATAGGCAGCAGGTTTAAAACAAACAAAAGGAAGTATTTCTTCACACAATGCACAGTCAGCCTGTGGAACTTATTCCCAGGGCATGTTGTGAAGCCCAAAACTGTAACGGTTCAAAAAAGAATTAGATAAGTTCATGGAGGATAGCTCCATCAATGGCTATTAGCCAAGATAGTCAGGGATGCAACCCCATGCTCTGGGTGTCCCTAGCCTCTGACGGCCAGAAGCTGGGACTGGACAATAGGGGATGGATCACTCAATAATTGCCCTGTTCTGTTCATTCCCGCCGAAGCACCTGGCATTGGCCACTGTCAGAGGATGGGATGCTGGGTTAGATGGACCATTGATCTGACCCAGTATGGCCATTGTTATATTGTTATTCCCCTAGATCTAGGCTTCACTCCCTCCCTTACCACTCAGCCAAGGGACCCAGACTCTAGGCCAGATCCTCAGCTGATGGAAATCAGTGTAGCTGTATTGAAGTCAAAAGGACAATGCTGATTTCCACCAGCTGACAATCTGCCCCCTGTCCTAAAAGGAGTCCCCTCTCTAGAGGCCAGACACGGATTTAAGGGGGGATTTTCCAAAGAGCTCTGCATTGGCCATTAACTCCACATGCAGTTAATGGACATTGCCCCCACTGTGCCCCCCATTGAAACCAGTGGCTCATTAGACCATTGACTTCAACGGAAGCACAGCTACGCCAATGCTGGGCACTGACCACTCGCAGGCCTCACTCCTATCCTGCACGGTCCTTGCACCAAGAATTCGGCTAATTAAATCTTTAGCTTAATCCCCTGCACACAGCTCTTCCTCCTGACCACAGGTCTTCCTGCAAGATCCCCACACCTGGGGAAGAGGGCAATTCAGTTTCCCTCATCACTGAGAATGCTAGGAAAGTAGCGACATAGATTGTCATGTAGGACCAGGAGACTGACAGGCAGGAAAGAGGAGAAAACATTTGGGAGAAAATATGTTAGGTGGTTGTGCTAGCTGGCTGCAATTCTAGTGTGGGGGTCAGCCAGGGCTTGGGAAATTCCAGGAGCTCCCTGGAGCCCATTGACTATCCTGTAATGAACTGGGAGGCAGGAGACAATTTGCAGGAGTAGCAGGAGGATCTGTAGTCTTGGCTTCAGTTAACCAAGTGTGACAAAGCTACATCAGGAGACCAGGGTTATTGTGGGTCACTTTGCTAGTGACCGTCAAGCAGTGAAGAGAACCTGTAAACAGGCCCAGCCGAAAGGAGGATGAGTTCCTGTCGGTTGTGACAATCTGTCAGGGAGCAGTTTAAAACTGTCTGAAGATACTGAAGAGATTTTAGAGCAGGTTGGCAATAATATTGATCTACCTTGGGTTTTATACCCTTCTGTTTGCAGTCTGTGTAATTCTTTCAATGGGATTTGCCCCCCACACTTCCCCAAATGCAAATTCCTCAGTGTAATTTGTTTTAAATGGAAAATAAAGAGCCTCCATCCTAGCCCCCATGAGAAACCCTACAGCCCAGCAGTGTGCACTGCTCAGCCCCACGATAAACGCTACAGCCCAGCAGTGTACACTGCTCAGCCCGACAAGAAATGCTACAGCCCGAGGGTGTGCAATGCGCAGCCCCCACGAGAAACACTATAGCCCAGTAGTGTGCACTGCGCAGCCCCCACGAGAAACGCTACAGCCCAGTGGTGTGCACACTCAGCCCCACGAGAAACACTACAGCCCGAGGGTGTGCAATGCGCAGCCCCAGCAAGAAATGCTACAGCCCAGCGGTGTGCACACTCAGCCCCACAAGAAACGCTACAGCCCAGCGGTATGCACACTCAGCCCCATGAGAAATACTACAGTCCAATGGTGTGCACACTCACCCCCACGAGAAACGCTACAGCCCAGCAGTGTGCACTACTGAGACCCCATGAGAAACGCTACAGCCCGGCAGTGTGTACTGCTCAGCCCCCACGAGAAACGCTACAGTCCAGCGGGGTGCACACTCAGCCCCACGAGAAACGCTACAGCCCAATGATGTGCACACTCAGCCCCAAGAGAAACGCTACAGCCCAGCAGTGTGCACTGCGCAGCCCCACGAGAAACGCGACAGCCCAGCAGTGTGCACTGCGCAGCCCCACAAGAAACGCTACAGCCTG